TCCCTCCCTCCCTCCCTCCCTCCCTCCCTTCCTCAACCTCTCCCTTCTTCGCCCGTCCACGCATTCAGCCATCCATTGTCATTGTCACCGTCGTTGAGTGCCAGGTCAGGTCTGTCCTTAGACGGTGAGGAGGTGAGGCCGCGGCTACCGGGCACCCAGACGCCGGGGCAGGGGCCCCTTCCTGTGTGCGCCTCCATCCCCCTCACACCTCACTCTGGTCGTGAGCTCTTGAGTTCTGGTCTGTGGGCTCCTCGTCTGCTCAAAGGCTGGGGAGGAAACCTCCATTTCTGCGGTCTGCCCCGGGGCGCAGCTGCTGCCCCCCTTCTGGCCAGCCCTCCCTGTCACTGGCTCAGGCTCCGCACCTCCTTATCGCGGGCTCTGTGTTGTCACCTCTGATTACAAAACCTTCCGAAATTCTCCGAATCTTCTGGGTGACCAGTCACCACGCTCACCACAAGGCTCGCAGACTCCGAGCCTGACCCAGACACTTCTGCTCCGCCCAGCCGAGGCCCTGGCTTCTCCCCTGCCGCCCTGGGCGTGCCCAGCCCCCCACCCCTGGCTGTCTGTCGTCTAAATCTCAGAGGCTGCAGTGGAGTGAAACAGAGCCCGTCCCCGGGGCCAGCTGGCGAGGGCCACTGAGGCTGCACAGGCCCGGGGGACCAGGCTGAGGGCAGGCCTAGGGCTCCGCGTGGAAGGCCGCCAGGGGAGGTGACCGGGGGTGGGGTGATGTGCTGAACGCAGTGACCTGTGCACCCCAGCTCCAGGCCTCCAGAAGGCACACTAAAGGGGCCTCTCGGGACGGCAGAGTGCGTGTGCATACATGCACATGTGTGTGCGAGAGAGAGTGCACGTGTGACCAGGGAGAGACAGAGCCCAGCATGACAGACAGACGAGTGTGTGAGAGCGAGTGACACCAGCCACGGAGTTCTCCTTGCTCCCCGCCCCCGGGCCGCTTTCTAGAACAGCTCAGGAAATGATTATTGGACAAATAAGCACGCCGGGGCCTGGTGTCAAGGCTCGGACACGCGCCGGCCCAGCCAGGCTGTCGGGGTCCCCGGCCACACCTGGGCCTGACCGGTGGCACTTACCCACTTACCCACGTGGTGGCCATGTTCAAAGGTGGCAGACTCTGCACTCTGAGTTCAAGGTGGCGGACACCCAGCACCCGGGACGCCTGCCCTCTGTCAGCACAGGGAGAGGGCGGCAGGAGTCGCGCAGGGCTCCACACCAGGCTCCCTCCCCACCCGGAGCCCATCCAGAACCATGGGCCCAGCTCTAAGGAGCAACAACTCAAGAAGGTCTGTCTCAGCTCATATCTTTCTTTACTTAAAAATATATATATATTATTGAGCTAGCAGGTGGCGTGGAAGTTAAGGTGGCTGGATCCCACATGACCAACTATGCAGTTCGAGTCCTGGACCCGGTGGCTTGAAAAATACTCTGGGTGCATGTGTGTGGGTGCCCAAAATCCTGAGAGGAGAATGAGGGAGAAGGGATTGGGCTTGGCTGCCTCCCCTGGTGGGTGATTTCTCACTTCTCTCTCTCTCTTATGCTCTTCAGGGAGTGCCTGTACCCTATCACAAAACTAATATTATATATATATATATATATATATATATATAATTATTTATTTCTTCCCCAAGTGAGTGTGTGTACCCATGGGCTCTTGACACCAGGTCACTGAGAGCTTCAGGTGTGTGTCCAGTGTGCCCAGGGGAGTCTCTAGAGGGGACTTCAGGACCTTCTCACGTGGGAGGGGAGGTACCCCATTTCACATGCAGGGAGAGGTATGGGGGGGAAGCAGTCTCCTCTTTTCCATTTCTGCATCTACGACCTTCTGAAACCTGAGTGCTCCTTCTAAGGAAACACTGGCTATTTTGAGAGGGATGGATGTAATTTGATGGGCGTCTGCTTATCGCCTGATCCGGGAGGATAATGATCATGGTGATGAGAACCAACCGTGTGCTCTTTCCAGTAGGAAAGTCCCTTTTATGCCCGCTCCTGTACTGGAGCCTCATTAACACCGTGGAGTGGGCGTGCTCATCCATTTGACAGAGCAGGGACCAGAGGGGACAGCGTCCATCTGGGCAGGTAAGTCCAGCCGGGCCAAGATCTTGTGCTGAAAGAAGGCAAAGGGGCACGAGGCTGTGGACCAGGGTCCTGGGGGGGAATGTGGGGACCACGGTTAAAGCTGGCATGAGTGGGCTCTGCTGCTCTATTTGGAGGGGGAGTAATTTTGCCCTGGGGCATGCGTGCTTCCTGGAGAGGCAGACAGAGCAAAGTGAGCAAATACCTCCTTCAAGGAGGACGGCCACGCTGCGATCTGGGGTTCTGGCCATGCACGCACACTCACCGAGCCCAATTTTCAAGCTACTGGACCGGGCCTCGAATTGCAGTCAGCCAGGTGGGAGTCCAGCACCTTAACCACCATGCCACCCACTGGCCCCAGTTCTGCTTCTCACTGTTTCACACGTGCAGATAAAGGTGCATGTAGGTTTCCATGTCATTTCAGGCAGCCCCAGGGTGTTCACCCAGGAGGGAGAGAAGGGCTCAGAACGAGGACGATAGGAAGCTTAGCCTTTCCTGTCCTCCTGGTAGAATTTTTGATTCAGTTAAGCTTGAAGCAATTTCTCAGAAAATGCGGTATTTTTTCTCCCAAACCCAACCCAAACTGTGTGGGATTTAGGGATACCTTTCTTCCCTTAATAATTTGTTCTTAGAAACTGCTGTAAGTGGAAGGGACTGCTCTGTCAGGCTGTGTGATAATGGGGACATTGTTCCCATGAAACGTCCCAGCCACCGCTGAGTCAAAGCAGTGACCAACAGTGTGTCATAAAGGCGGCGACAGCTATAAACGTCCATCATCGTGGGAAATACAAAACCGGCCTTCAAGTCCCGTAAAATGAATGCAAATGTTTACTTTCATGCTTTGATTACAAGAGGGGCCCTGTCTGCTATAAAGTCCTTAGACAGACAATAAAACGTCCACCTCTGCTGTGTCATAAATCCGACCTGAATGATCTCCTATCTTCAGTAAGCATTAATTAAAATTTTATTTAAGAAGCTTATTTTTCCCCATCATGTTGCAATTTGGAAGCGTTTTTTAAGGCAATTTGGAAATGCAATACTTAGAAACAAAAACTGCTCCCCCAAAAGTTGGAGTAAGTGCCCCTTCTCCTTGCAGACGTTCCCCCAGGACAGGGGCCCTTTGGCTCCGTTCTCATGCTCGGGCTGGGCGGGGGTAGCCGGAGGAGGAGCCGCTGTGGCGGGGGGCCGG